TGGATGTATCGATCAAATCTTCACCCTCAGACGGTTGCTTGAGCACCGTCAGGCCTACCGTAGACCAACGATCATTTTGTTCTTAGATATCCGCGCGGCCTTCGATTCTGTCGATGAGACCGCACTATGGAACTGTTTGTTGGGGACTGGAGTACCAGAGAAATATGTGTTGATTATCATAGAGTTTTGTTGTCATACCTCAGGCTGGGTCGGGACCTGTGGCCAGTATTTGCCACCGTTCGCTGTCTCCAGTAGAGTTCGACAAGGCTGCCCTATATCCCCATTCCGTTACAACTTTGTCATTGAGAATCTTCTACAGAGTGCTTTGTCCGGTCTAGCAAACGGTGGAGTCAGATTCCTCCTAGGGAACAGAGTTCTTAACTTGGAATATGCCCATGACATCACCTCGCTGGTTGACAACACACAGGCAGTCCAAAACGCTTTGAACCACTTGGCGATCAAGGTATTCATGTGTGGTATGTGCTTTGCACCTTCCAAGTGAAAAGTGTTTTCACAAGACTGGTATGTGCCTGTGCTTGCACTCACCCCCTGCAGTGATTAATTGGAAGTACTTGAGAGCTTTGAATACCTCAGGAGCTTGATCGCAGCTGGCGGTAGTGTTGGGAAGGAGATCACATCCTGAATAGCGAAAGCCCAAGCAGCTTTCACCAACCTGCGACACTTGTGGCGCCGCCATGACATCCGACTGTCCCTTAAGGAGAGGGTGTATATCGCCACGGTTTGTAGAGTTCTACTTTACGGTTGCGAGACCTGGTCTGCATTGACAATGCTAATCGACATTACGTATTCGGCCACCGATATATCCGATTCATTCCACATCCAGTGAACGATGACGAAGTTGGTGGTCGTGTGTTGGTTGCGGACAGTCGTTCTCTAACACAAGCAATTGGCTCTACACCGCCTTCGATGTCTTGGTCACGTATTGCATATGCCATCTCAGCGACCAGCTTTCCGTGTGCTCTTTGCTCGTTCCGGGCAAGGCTGGAAGAAGCGCCGCGGTGGTCAGACCCTAACATGGCGTAGATGCATAATGAAGTTGGCTTCAGCTTTGGCTTTGGCCCACGTTGCAGCCCGAAGGATGAGGATTATCGTTGATTAGAAACACTGAGAAATATGGCCCAGAATATAAGTCAGTGGCGAGAATGCTGTACAGTCTGTCTTTCAAAATTTCGTACCCGGTAGAAACGACAAATTAAGGCCAAAATTATCAAGCAGTGTAGGGTAAAACGCACAAAAGTGTTCGGTTATTCCAGTTATCCACCATTGTCAATTTGCACTATTTCACTTTCTTTCCACTTTGTTACGTATCCAAATCCACGTATCCCATATTAGTTCGATGGTTATTATTGTTATTGTGTAGGCACCATGCATATCTACGAGCCGATGTAAAATATATATCCAAATAATTAGTGCAGGATTTGATTCAATTTCACAGAAGAAATTCGTCAAGCATAGATCGAAAGGAGCGTGAACTGAAAATCTACGAAGCACTATTCACCTGTTTCGAATTGTTTGGTTCTCATTAGCAGTGCGACTCCATTGACCCAACTGGGGATTGAACAACGGACCACACAGGCAGAATGCAAACACACTGCCTACTCGGCCGCCGGACAGCTGACCAAAACCATTTTTATTATCCGGTTCCCTTGCTATATGGACAACGAATTCACGTTTGAAATTGTCCTGTAGTTGGATACCTCTTTCTTTGCTCCGGGAAGCTTAATGATGTTCGACAGCTGTTTTGTTCATCCGTTGAGCACTGCGCAACCAGTTCCATCAAGAACGAAAGAGCTGTTCAGTGCCTTTTAGTCGACTGTATAATAGATTATTGTCAGGAAACGAAGTTTGAAATATTCATTTTGATTTCACAGGCGAATGTGGTCCACAAATCAGTTCTAGAAACGTAACTATCGTCTTTTTAAAGCATGAGTATTGTATCTTGTTATTTA